ATATTGTTGGCTTTGTAGTAGTCATTCATAGCACAAGATGCAGACATGATATCCTGTCTAAACACTATTGGTACAATTCTTTCTTCTTATTGAATTAAGAGAAAGTGGCTATATATCTATCCTATTTTGTATATACAGATACAAATTGGTCCTTCATTTATATCTCCTTTTTTGTTTAGTTTTGTCAGAGATGAGTATTCCATTGTCATTCAAATATTGTAGGTTCATGAATTCAGCAAAATATTCCAATATAGACCAGTAGTCCAAAATAGTAATGGATTATCTCCAGGACTGGCAATGTCCGAATCTATTGACTTAAGCCTTCCACAGATCTGCATATTAACATGGCATCACTTTTCATACTTCATTTCTACACTTTACTGCTGGATGGTTCAGACCAAGATAAAGCAAGACCTATTTAACAAGAAATGTAACTTTTGTATCTGACAAGGTCAGTCAAGTCCCCTCAGGACTTATCCCAAAACCCTGTACCACTCTTTGTAGATCCTTTGTCAGGGTCAGCCATATAGATGAGTCATGGCCATTACTTGGCCAATTTGCTTTCTTTAAAAGACAGAATGTTTTCTCTCCATATAACTCTCTTTAGGCACAAAACACTACATCATTGATCACATTCCTCTGAGGCTCCATAATGTCCTTAATCAGAAAATTTGGGACATAATTGAGTTACATGATGTTACAGTATAGGTTCTCCTATTTCCTGAGTCCTCACTGACCTTGAAAGGCTAGGGCCAAAAGGTTGGCTGTCCTTGCAGCCCTTCTTTTTCTCTAATGTTTGGTCTGCAAATGTAGGTTGTTAACCCTCCAACAGAAGTTTATTATTACTCTATAACATATGCAGTTGGGTTTAACCTCTCTATCTGTCTGAACAACAAACATCATAGGCATAACATGGAACAGGTATTTTCCATCAAGTATTGATACGTTAAACTTTAAGTCTCTAGATTATGGAAAAAGAATAAAAAAAGAATATTTTAAAAATATGAATGAACAGTTACATATTTTTACACAGAAATTTAGAAATCTACCCATATACATCATTTTAGCGGGACAGTCCTGTGATGTTTATTCTTTCTTGTCTCTTTTTTCATTTATTAACCTTTTTTTAAAAAATAAACGTTTACTTGAGATACTGTCTAATTACAGTCATAATTGGTGTTTCATGGCAAGCAGTACATAATTAGAGGACCAGAATGACAGGCATTCCAAGCATAACTCCACTATTACACATTGTTATCTTCAGTGCAGTCACTCAGTTCACAGGTACCAGCATAAATAGTCAGGGTGAGAATCCCACCAAGTAATTGTTAGTTTCACCAACCTGCTGATAGTTCTCAGGATCATTGCCCATGTATGGCTTTGCCCATGTCAGTGTACTCATCTACTAATGTCTCAGAAGCTGCATGTGCTCCTAGGTGAGGAGGCTGGTTAGAAACTGCTATTGCAGTGTGAGGTGGAAGGATGTCTCTCCCACCCTGCCTCCTCCTTTCCCTCTGCTTCTTGGTTGCTGTGAGATGAGTAGCTTAAGTTCTGCTGAGGCTATTTCACACTGACATATTTGCTTTGGGGTCAGCTGACAAGGAGGCCAAAAAACATCTTCTTTTAAGTTTATGGTGTTGGGTTTTAATGGAAGTAATGAAAAGAGTGGCTAAGACAACATCTAGATCATTCTCCAAGCAGAATATTTTTTTAAATGAGAAATATTTTTGCAGAGTTTAAGCTTTACCTGTTGTAATAGAACCACTATTGTTGTAAATGACAGAGATCTTACATACATATAAAACTTTATAAATCTTTTTTTTTTTCTCTTTTTTTGTGGTACTGGGTATTGAACTTAGGACCTTGTACTTGCTTGGCAAGTACTTATTCTATTGAGATACTCCCCTGCATTCTAATTTTATAAATCTTGTGTAAATACAGATGTTATTTTTGAAATATCCATTTTTATAATTTAGGTGAGGAGTATAAATACACAAACCTTGGTGAGATGTATGCAGAAGTAAAATTCTATGATCTGTGACAAAACTATGATACTTTCACCTAATAATTGTAGACCCTCAATTATCACAAAAGAGCTTTGTACACTTCTTTTACCTTTCTCTACCCATCTAATCTTCTTTTACCCCTCTGTCATTTTCTTCAGGGCCACCACAACCACATGCACATGATTAACCACACACAAATACACAAATGTATAACTAAAATGCATAGTGTAGTAGAACAGTACCAAAGCCATATTTACAATGAAATATTTATTTTATAATATGTATTTTCATACAGAAATTGAGAGTCAAAATGATACAGAAGCTCTTTTGCAAACTCATATCATCAACTAATATACAGGAATTCAGTGGCACTCTGTATTTGCTTTGCTTTTCAGTGAAATTAATGTATTGTCAGTTTTTCAAAGGCACTTGAAAATTTATCTTGTGAAGGAAGTTGGAGAATATTCTAGTGAAACAAGAAGTTGTACTCAACAGGCTAAGACTCTGTGGAAATTCTTCAGTAGAAGCCATAGGTCCAGTATCTCCTACAGCACAGGGGACTGCAACAGCCGTAGCCATAGCCACAGCCACCATAGCCACCATAGTCACCATAGCCATAGCCACAGCCATAGCCACAGCCTAGGCCACCGTAGCCATAGCCCAAGCCACCGTAGTAGTTGCGGTAGTAGCACATGCTCTCAGGAGTGGACAGCTCTGTTGAGGACCAGGAAGTCAGTGTCTTGTGTCTGGATGTCACTCCCTGCCTAGAGCCTTTTATACATCCTTGGTGGAGGATGAGGGAAACCACAGGTAGCACAGCATCACTTTACCTCACTAATGAGCTTCAGATAAGGCCGTAAATATATTTACTGAGCAAACAAGGCCTTCATAGCTGAGATAACTTTGCTGCTATGTCAGGAAACTATGATTCAATTATAGGCTTTTAAAGTGAAGTGCTTGTTCTATTTTCAAGTCTCTGTTATATATATATATGCATAAACCCTGTTTAGATGTTTTGATGGAAATCATGAAAATAGTATGTAATTTTTGCTCATTTTTGTTTCTATTACTCTATGGAGACAATTCTTGTTTTGTTTTTCCTATTCTTTTTCTTTCTTATTTTTCATTGTTTCACTCTTCTTTTTTATTGTTTTTTTTTTTTTATTTTAGGGAAGAATCTACAGGCTGTCCAGGGTCTCACTACTAAATCAGACTTGTAGTGATCCACCTGTTTACAGAATTGGGATTACAAGCGCACGCCACCAGGTCCAGTCTCAATTGCCATCTCAGCATGTCCTGGAGACAGTGCTCGGCATAGCAGGCTGGGGAATGAACCCTTGCCCCCTGCGTCTAATTGCAGGTGCTTTAATATGCTGAGCTATTTGACCAGCCCTTCATTCTTCTTTAAGCATGTGCTATCCTGTATTTTTTGAAAAGACTTCTCCAAAATTCTAATATCCTGACTCCTGCTCATGATGAATGAACTAGTTATTCCCTACCCTGTGTTTGTATGTGGAAGATTATGAAAATAACTGATATTAAGATTCATGTTTTTTAAAGTAGGTTCTGAGATTTTCTGTGTATCTAGATTTCTGGTTAATCTAGTTCTCTCTTCTCTCTCTGTCTCTCTCTTTATTCCTTTCATTCATATATTCACGTACACAAGCAAACAAAAAAAAGCTATGGAGAAGAATCAATATAAATGTATTGAAGCATAATTTGCAGAATTTCTCAGTTTACTAAACAAGAACTTACCTCTTCATATGAAATAGATGAAAAGGCACACAGTTCTCACTGTGCATCTGTGGATTCTGTGTCGGTCAACTAAACTTGGATCTTGTCAGTTTTGTAAAATGAAATGCTCCTGCAGTAAATAAGTACATTTTGTTCAATACTTCCTCTATAATGTAGTATAACAAACTGTTTTCATACAACCTTGTTGTGTTATGTTTTATTGTTATGATTCAAAGTACACAAGATAGTATTATGAGCTATGCAAATATTCTCCTTTGCATACAAAAGACTGAGAACCTGTGAGTTTTAGGATCCTCAAAGGCTGTGAAGTGCACTCTGCCAAAACCAGTAAATGGTACTGATAAAAGTTTAATAGAAAATACCGTGCAAAACATACCTCTAGATTGGAAAACGTCACATTGATTGTAGGCAAATTGAGGGATGATGAATTTGAATATTGTTTTAATATCAAGGGATGAAGTTGCCACTTGTTATATGCCCATGGAGGTAAGACTAGGAAACACTAGGTAAGTGTCTTGCTGATGTAGCATTAGGAAGACCACAGGTCCCAAACTGTACTAAAATCAGTAGCCATTGTCAGTGGCCATGCAGTTTTTATTGTAGTTCATGGGGTCAGAAGTTGAATGTTCAGTCATATAATAGAGAATCTGCTTCCTCAGAGTGAAGGTTGACAGTGACACGCTACAGGATTTTTTAGATGTTATGTCACTGGTTGTATGAGATATGAGCAGTTCTGCCCTTGTAAATGACACTGTCACTCAAGTAAAGTCCCATAGTGAATATACAAGTAAAATCATTACAGTTTTTATAATGCTCTGTAGTTTTATCACTTGCATTAAACAGTATTTAGGATTTATCTAATTAAAATATTTTATTTTATTTTTTAAACTTTTTAAAAATATTGTTCCAAGTTTTTTAAAAATAATTTTGTTCAGAAACAAACAGCAATGAGACAGTTTCAGAACCGATCAGTAGGACAGTTTCAAAAATACATTGCACATTGTTGTCTCAATGGTTATTCATTGTATAAGATGCAGACATGACATCCCATCCACAAACAATATTAGAACAAATCTTATTCATTGAATTAACAGAATGTATCTGTATATCTATCCTAACTATTTTGAGTATGCAGATACAAAATGGTCCTTCATTTGTATCCCGATTTTTTGTTTAGCTTTGTCAGAGAAGGGCATTCCACTGTCATTCAATTATTATATGTGCATGAATTCAGCAAAATACTCCAATATAGTTCAGTAGTCTATAATAGTAGTGGTTCATCCGCAGGACTGGCAATGTCAGAAGTTGTTGACCTGAGCCCTTTACAGTCCAGCATACCAACATGGCTTCACGCCTTATACCTAGTTTTTATACCTTTCTACTGGATGGTTAAGATCAAGATAAAGCAAGACCTACATAACAAGAAATGAAACTTTTGTATCAGATAAGGTCAGTCAAGTCCTCTCAGGATTTATCCTGAAACCATGTACCGTGCTTTGTAGATCCTTTGTCAGTGACAGCCATGTGGATGAGTCATGGCCAATGTTTAACCAATTTGCTCTCTATGAAAGCTTGAGAAAATGTTTTCTCTCCATGAGACTCTCCTTAGGCAAACTGTACAGCATCATTCACATTACTCTGTGGCCCCATAATCTCCTTTATCAGAAAATTTGGGACACAACTTAGTTACATGATGTTACAGTATAAGTTCTCCTATGTCCTGAGTCTTCACTGATGTTGAAAGGCTAGGGAAAAAATGTTGGGTGACCATCCAGCCTTTCTTTTCCTCTAATTTTTGGTCTGCAAATTTAGGTTGTGAACCATCCAGAAGAGAAGCTTATTATTACCCTACAACACATGCAGGTGGGTTTAACGTCACTATCTGTCTGAATATCAAATGTCCTAGGCATAACATGGAGCAAGTATTTTCCATCAAGCATTGATGTGTTAAACTTTAAGTCCCTACAGGATATGAAGAAAAAAATTAAAAAAAATTTTAAAATATGAATAAACAACTATACATTTTTACACAGAAAATTAGAAATCTAAGCAAATACAGCATTGTAGTAGGACAGTCCTGGGACAATTTTCTTTCTTGTCTCTTGTTTCCATTGATTACCACCTTTTTTAAAACAAACATTTACTTAGAGACAGTATGGCAATAATTGATATGTCATGAAAAGCAGTACGTATTTAGAAGACCAAAATGACAGACATTCCAAGCAAGACCCTATTATTACACATTGCTATCTTAAGTGCAGTTCCTTTGTTCATATGTGTCAGGATATATAGTTAATTAGGGTGAGAATCCTACCAATTAACTGCTAGTTTCAAAAACCTGCTGATGTTTTCAGGATCATTGCCTTACTCACCTTGTGGATATAAATGTATGGCTTTGCCCCTGTCATGTTTCATAGCTTTTCTCCTTGCCCTCTCTTTGTTGTCTAATCTTTAAGTTCATGATTTCCTTTTAATTGTGTTATACCTTTCCATTTGTATTCATTCTTTTGAGTTCTTATACTAGGGAGACTATATGATATTTACACATGTGATTCATGTTTATTTCACTTATTAGTATATCTTCAAGTGGCATCCACTTAAGTATAAGTGCTTCAAGTTTATCATTCTTTATAGCTGAGTAACATTCCACTGTATAAAAATACCATATCTTTTTCACCCATTCCTCAGGAGATGGGCAACTTGGTTTTTTCTACAGATTTGGTTATCACAAATTGTGTTGCTATAAACATAGATACACTTATATCATGATCATACAATGTTTTCAGTTCATCTGGAAAATTCCCAGTAGGAGGACAGCTGGCTTGAATGAGAATTCCAGTCCTCGTTTTTTAAGGAGTCTCCACACTGATTTTCATAAGGGTTGGACCACTCTACATTCCCACCAGCAGTGGAGAAGGGTACCTTCTTCCCCACAATAACGCTAGCTTTTATTGTTATGTGATTTGTTTATGATAGCTACTCTTTCTGGTGTGAGATGATGTCTCAGTCTTATTTTAATTTGCATTTCATGGATGGCTAGTGATGTGGAGCATTTTTTCATATATTTATTCTCTAGTTTAATTTCATCCTCTGAGAAGTGTGTATTTACCTCGGATGCCCATTTCTGGAGTAGGTCTTTAAATTTTTTGGCCCTAATGGTATTTAGCTCTTTATAAATTGTAGAGAGCAGACTTTTTTTCTGAGTGCTAATTAGTTAAGATTTTTTCCAAATTTGTGGATTGTCTTTTCACTTTGTTGGTAATTTCTTTTGATGTACAAAAACTTCTCAATAAGAGGAGGTCCCAGTTGTTAATTCTTTCAAGGGACTCCCATGCAATTTGATTTTTGTTCATGAACTCTTTGTCTACCCCTATGTCTTCAAGAGTTCCTCCTACGTTCCCTTCTGGGAGATTTAATTTTTCTCTTTTAATGTTTAGATCTTTAATCCATTTTGACTTTAGCTTAGTGCATGGTGATAGACTTGGGTCAAGTTTAGTATTTGGCATGTAGAGAGTCAGTTTTACCGACACCATTTGTCAAAGAGGCTATTTTTCTTCCAGTAAGCATGCTTGGCCTCTTTGTTGAAAATCAGATGGCTGAGTGTGTTCACAGTGGTTTCTGCATCTTGAAATCTATTCCATTGATACACAGGTCTGTTTAACTGCCAGTACCATGATGATTTTATCACAGTAGTTTTGTAGTATAATTTCAAGTCAGGAATTGTAATGCCTCCTGACTTGTTTTTACTGCCCAGGATTGCCTTTGCTATTCTAGGTCTTTTTCTGGTTCCAAATAAATTTGAGGAATGATATTTCTAGGTCTGGCAGGTATGCTGGTGGTAGTTTTATAGGGATTGCATTAAATCTCTAGAGGAATTTTGGGATATAGCCATCTTCTCAATGTTGGTTCTTCCTATCCAGAAGTAGGGAATATCTTTCC